CCAGAACAATTGGATGAAAGCTTAGTACATTAGGTGTCTTGGTGGAACAATTTAACAATGGGCTGCTCGTGGGATAATCGCGCACACTATGTTACGTATTGCTCACGCGTTTGGCCGGGAATGAACGGTGCGCGGTATAGTTTAGCGTGCAACTTAAATCACCTACATGTAATTGCACGTAACACCAAGTAGGGCCAACTCGGCACGGCATGGGTGCACAATTTGGCATCCAGAGAGGGCGGAGGTTTTCGTAGAAACAGCCAGCGCTTCGACGCAATGAGTCCACAATCATTCAGCCAAGTTCGATGTCACCTGTTTGCAGATTACTTCCCCTGCCGGTGGCAATTTACCTACTGATTCCATCCAATCTGTTTTTGCATCGCTGTCCCGGTGCATATTCACTTAGGATTGACAATCCATATTGGGAGGTCCTTCACACACCAAGATGGTCTCTATCCTGTATTCATATCTGCTTTTAACAATACTTCCTTACGGCCTCATGCTGAGCTGTGTTCGCATGTCTTTTGCGAGACAAGCAGACCATTTCCTTCTAGTCCGGAATATAAGACCTGTGCCCGCCCGTCGGGAACTATACCCATTCATTTGTATTTTTAATCTTAGCTTATATGTTTCCCTTGCATGCAAGTTAGCTGGAACGTCTTTCTGTTCACCATTTTCATCAGCTGTTATGGTCTGTCCCTTTCTCTCTCTTAATTACCGCTTCTTCAGGTGGCTCTACCCAAGACTTATTTGCGATACAAGAGGCGATTAAAAGGGCGAAATCCATGGAAGAAGTGGAACGATTGCACCATCTGCTGAGCACTGGTCAGTCGGCTGGCTTCGCAGCTTACTGGCAACAGCAGCTCAGGTTGCAGCAACAACAGAAACAACTGCAGCTACAGCAACAACAGCAACAGCAAGGCGAGGAGCAGCAGCGACCACATGGCCAGGAGAGGAATACCCCAATCGAGTCGTATGTTGCCGAGGAAGAAGAGAAATCTAACGAAGATGTTCAACATATGGATGAATAATCATCTACCGGTTCCCAACACCCACGAGTTTCACCGTGACTAACCTGACCTGAGTCACCCCGCTGTAAAACACCGTTGCTATTCATTTTTGTGCACTCCCTGACGCTAAAAGCAAACAATATACAAACAGCTAAGTTTGACTGTTTTATCTTGCCGATGCAGTTGTCGAAGGTACTCACGTATCTTATTGATTCCCCCCGGGGGATCTAGCTGGTTCATCCACATGTGTGAATCGTCCTGATTCTTCACTTGTACTTCGTTACTTCTTACGGTTATGTTCGTCATTGGCCCACGAGTCCAAACACTTCAAGTGCTTACCACTCCAGCACCTACTGTAAGGTCCCTTGTTCTGTATGTCGCGCTTATCTCACGTCTGAAAAGCTTACTCGACTGTGTTCTACCAACCGCCACTGATCCCATTTTTCTCGGTATCACCATACTTGAGTGATCCTGACTCGGAGACCGATGGTTAGCCACTGTCAACGTCGTTTCTGCAGGGTCTATTGGTCGATTCCTGAGTACATACAATGTGCGAGCCTTCAGTCCGTGCAGGTATTTTTGGCCATGAGTACGGAACTGTGCCAATTCTTTTACACATTGGATTGGCTATTATCGGTTTTATTGCTCCAAATGCTCCTACATGAGTGTATTAAGCTTGACTTGCAATTCTCCCTATTCATGGCCTCTTTTGTTAGGTCACACTTTCCCTGTGCCCTCGGAGCGTGCCACTTTGGCACTAGGGTCAAGCGTTGCCTATATCATTTTGGTGGGAAATCGTTTGTGCTCTTCGTTATCGAATTTAACTTCATACCTTGACCTCTGGTCCAATAATTTCTCCAGCGCGAGCTTCACTCCATTTAGTTTTACCTTCATTACGCAACTGGCCTGGAATATTCAACAACGGTGTTCCGAAGCTTAACCTGGGGAAATTGTAACAACTTTTTACGAGGATCGTTGACTCTTGGTTTGATAACCCAACGCAAGAGAGATGTAGTTTCTCGTTGATATTCTTGGTATAATATAGTATTCAATGCCGCTGAACTAATTTCGAATTAAGGATCATTTGGGTGGAACTGTCGGATCAGACCCGTGCAACGACGATTGTCAGAGTACAAATACTCTTGTATGCACTATCGTTACCACTGCTACTGCTCTATGGAAGGATCAGGCATGCTCCGGTTGCATGAACAGCGCACATATTTCATACGAGTCTAGGCCCGATTATTCGCTTTGTGTTCTCACTGGTCCACAGAGACTTGAATGATACATCTTTCATCGTGTTAAACCGTCTCCACAATCCCTCCATCGATAAGGTGCCTCACGAACAAGCGAAATCCACATAGTAAAACTAATATGCCTAAGATTCAGTGTCAACATAAGCTAACCACAAATGTGAGGCAAGCAGAAACATGTGAGCGGGGAACCATAGAAGCGGGCGGGATGAGTGAGGCAAAACGACGGGGAGTGGTGGAGTTTTATGGAACGCGTTGATGTTTCACTAAACGACTTGCTTCGGTACGCCAACTGGGATTCGAGTAGTTAAGTGCGGTTGACTCCTTGACCGTTACACGCGTTACTCTGCTAATAACGATCAACAACGACAAGAAAATTAAATTCAAATAATTCATGGAAAACATCCTAAAAACAGGCACATACTTTCAAGTCATCGAAAACATTCCTTGCTTAGGGTTGTCGCAGTGCCTTCCGAATCATATAGTCTACAAGTTCTGGAAAGCCTGAACTCGCCAATAGTACACATCCCTTGGCCCCATCGGTAACTGATCTATGACGACTAGCAGCTTATACCACTAAGCCTCGGTGGGCCGTCATGATTTACAAGCTGAACTGCAATATAATACTACTCATTCTCCACTGCCATACAGGTTGGCCTTGAGAGACACGACTCCCACTGATAGCAGCTATGTACCACAGCATTTAGGAGCTCTTAGATCGACCGTTTTTAGTGCTCCTCAACCTTTTACATGTAAGATGCAGGTTAAGGCAATTTAGGGGGTAGTTATAAGCTGAGCTGTAATTAACTGCGTTGGTTGTAATTCCGACTTTTCAATCGAATCTTAGGGCAATCTGTCCAGTTGACAATGGTCACATCAACCGCACACTCAACAGGTAATCTGGCCGATGGGGTGACGCAGTCTCACTCGATCGCCGCCCGTGCCCGATTTGAGCGACATTCATTGCTTTGTTACGACTATGATAAGAGAAGGGTTTGTATCAGCGCCCTTTGCGTGCGCAGATCAGGTTGCAGTATCCTGATCACAATGACTCCGGTGTTTTTCTGCCATCTTCTCAATGTTTTTGGCACAATGTGGGAAAAGCATCCTTGGCCACAGCTTGATGCGCATTTGGAATTACCTGTGCCAAAGTGGAGTTGTTGCTACTGGGCGATGGTTTGCAATCCGTTTCATCAAACGCCTGATGGTGTGTCCGAGGTATATTACACCACAGCTGCAAGTGGACTGATATTTAATAAAGGATTCAGATTGGACCATAAGTCTTTTCTTGAGACACTTAGTAATAATCGGAGCATCTTTGGCAACGACATTTGAGCATCCAGCTGGGAAAGATTGAGCAACTGCATTCGAGTTTCCAGCTCGGCAACTCGAAGGGGTTATCACCTCTGAAATGGACTGAGAGAACAGTGGAACAATAGATTTATACGTATAAAAAAAGCTAAAGCTTAACAGATTCCGTAGGGTGTTTATGGTTCAAATTCAAACTATTGAAGAATTGTCGGCAAAATTAGGTTTGCCCCGGTGGGCTCACTGCAGTATACGTAGTATAAACTATAAATCCAATGTAATCCATAAGGAATGACGATAGATGAGATATCGGTAACAAATCGTATCGCATTCCGGTGAACACAAAAGCGAGGTGGAAAAGGTGGAACGTATTCTGGGAGTTGGCCGGACTCTTGTGTTTGTTCGTGGATACTGAGTCATATAAGATGGTGCATCGAAATGAATGCACGCTCAACTCGGACTTTGAACTTAGGCAGCGTGGGAGAACAGATGTCAGCTTTCCGTGGGGCATTCCACGTTTTGCAAACGCGTACGGAAATAAAATTCCGACGGTATTCCAAACGACTTTCCTGTTCTACCAGCTTGAGATGGTGGCCTCTCAAATTACTGTTTTGACAGCTATGGCAAATGGCGGCACGTGTGATAGGGATCTCTCACAATCTGGTGAGTCAAAATGAGATCCCCGCGCAATCGCGAGCACTCGAAGCCTTCGATTATATGGCAGATTATACAAACCTTTGACATTTTTAATTGCCCGGCCCTGGCATATCTCCAAGGTGGTGAGATCTCCCTACAGTTATTGCTGTCAGACCTGTATTGTTACTCCACATGTGGACGTATGTATGCGCCGAGAAACTGGAAATCTTGTTTAGTCGAGTCGTCCAAATGCATGCTTCAGAAGGCCCACGTGTTGGATGCCCCTCTTTGACACGGTTTCAGTCTGGTTTCGACAGCCAAAGTCAGCCTGGACCAAAACTCCCAGGTTTTTCTTGCCAGAAGACGTTTCTAGCTCCAGGTTGCCGAGTTTGTAGGAGCATACCACCTGGTTCCGTGTGTGCAGCACTCCATATTTGTCCACATTGAATCGAAGTAGACTCTCGATTGACCGCGCGTATACCATATCCAGATCGGCTTGTAGTACTGTGATGTCATCTGATGTTTTGATTGCCCTCCACACTTTGATGTCATCGGCACAAAGCAGGCAGTTTGAACTTACGAGGTGTGTGCTCTCGTTGATATACGTCAAAAATGATCGTGGTCCTAGTACCGATCCCTGCGGAACTCCGCATTCAACTCGGATGGGATCTGGCAGCGATTCACGCACTCGTACTTCCAAGTGCAGGTGTAGAACAAAGCTTCTAATCCACCTTAGGAGTGAATCACCAATACCAAAGTTCTGAAGTTTGTAGAGCAGGATGTCATGGTCTACCTGGTCAAACGCTTTTTAGAAGTCGATAAAAAATTCCCTCAACACTTGTGCCAGAGTCTACTGCCTCGGTTCAGCTGGATCATGCCAGTAGTAGATTTGTAGTGCACGATCGATTTCGTTGGAAGCCATCTTCCAAGGAGACTGTTAGCGCATCAGAACTAATAGCTTCCATGGTGTTTGAAATTACTGGTAGTAAGATTACGGGACGGTAATTGGCTGGTGAATGCAGTACCGTAGCTCTGACATTTGCGGTTTTCTGCGCGCATTCGCCAGTAATCGTGGATTATTACATCATTCGATTTCTCTTAGTGTGCTCCATCACCCACTGGAAAAATGTGGGAAGTTTATCTAACGGTTTCTGTGAAAACTGTGTAAAGGTCCTTCAACAATCCAACATGAGTTTGAATAAGGACATTCCCGTAGAGCTTTTATCCCTCATTTTATACTTATTTACTTTATATGCTCTTTCAGTTGAACTATATTTTGTCCATGTATGTGAAACGATCTCGTCACAATTCTCACTTTTGTGTTTTTACTCCCTAAGATGGGACTTTCCTACAGGGAGTAACTCCTCGCCTTTTTTGTAAGCGTTATTTATGTATCTATTTTATGTTTAAGCTTTTACATTTTTGTCCATATTGTACTTGATGTTTGCTTTTTTTAGGAATATATACATTGTTACTTAATAATAACCCTTAATTCTAGTTCGTTCCAGATGAGCCTCCGTAACTCTGATGCCCAGCCATAGGGTACCCACAGCCTTTAGACCAGTGCTTCCCAACCTTTTCGAGGCCATTATATCTAAAACGGGTCTAGTATAACCAATTACTCCAAAAAATTTTCGCTTGAAAAACAAATTAACTACTAGCTGTCACACTGTTTTGCCAAATTATGGAACATATTTTCCTTTTTTCAACCATTCAAACAAATAAAGGACTCCTTTTTGAGCAATCTTTTCTGTAAAGAAATGGGACGGTTGATAATGCCTAGTTCCAATAATTTCGTTTAGCGCTTGGTGCAGTTTCCTTCAATACACATCGTATGTCGTGCCCTCAATTAAAGCACTCCCTTGCTCTTTATTCATCACCAGTGTGGAAAGTTCACTTTCACACCTGCATGGCTGCCGAATGAGATCAGAATTTTTAATGCCTTCTGCGATCCTGATGGATACTGCCCGCCAATAT